CAGAGGTCTTCACCATGCTGAGCCCTGCTGGCAGCATCTTTTCCTCCTCGTAAGAACTGTCAGACCCTGTGCCTGGAGGGCACCCTGGTTACGGGGAAGGAGAAACAAGTGGAAATGGGCTAGGTTTGCTGGTGATACGTCTGCCTCACGGTGCCAGGAAGGAGAAGTCTAGTGGGCTGTCACCCAGCTCAGTGTTTCTCTAGGGAAGAAAGTTCAGTGAACGGCATGAGGAAAACTGTGCGCAGGTGCTCAGTAGGAGATGCTGAATCAACAAGTGGAGACTGGTGTTGCACAGGTCACTTGTGTGCCAGATGGCATCTCCCTCTCCCCACAATTACAGCATGAGGTGGAAGACCCCTGACCAGACCTATGCCTCACACCTCTTGAAGGATTTCTCAGCATCTGCCCTTGGTCTGTGAAAATATACCTGAGCATCAGCTTCCTCTGGGGACTTTTACTCTGTTTTGCTATTCAGCAGCACTTGAGATAAAGAAGAGTAAGCATGTGAGGACAACCTTGTCTTGTGGCAAGCAGCAGGGGATGCAGTAGGTGGGCCAAACCAGACACTGGGAAATAACGGAATTATCAACAATCCCTTCTGAAACTTCTCTGGGATGGCCTTGTCCTGGTCACCAGGGCCATCCCTTGGCTCACTTGGGATCCCGGGACAACTTCTGGTGGTTGTGCAGCATGCCTAGGGCTCAGCTTTTGGAGCACGTCCGTGGGGTGCTGCATCTCAGTGAGGTGCTGGATGCCTGCTGAGCCGGGACTGGAAGCCCCTCCTCACACTTAGGAGGAGCTAGGTGTAGATTGGGGATGTGAGGGGAGTTGTGACATGAACTCAGAGTGGCAGGGTCTTGCTCTTTCAGCAGCTACTGGTGCTACCTCGTGGTCAAAAATCTTAACTGCTCTGGCCCAACCGTGCATTCTCCTTCCTGGGGTATATTTATGGGACAAATAAACCTCCCAGCGCATTAAGTGGGAAGGTTGTTGCACTGCACTCCACCTCGCATCAGGTACATTGCCCCTCCTTCAGGAAAGAAGTATGGGGCTGGGCATAAATAGAACAGCAGCTCCAACATCAGGATTCCATCTGGCTGTGGGCACGGAGGAGATAACCACAGCGGTACAGACAGGGAAGGAAGTACTGAGAAGCCAGATGCCCGGATCCTGTTCTCAGCTTTCATTCATTCCTGGCTCTTAATTACTATTGTCCTTGGCATGACCGATGCAGGACCAGGGTGATATCTACAACAGGGGAGTCTACAACCAGGGAAGTGGAGAGACAGGTTTGCTGGAGGACCTCGCTCTCCTCTCTTCTCCGGGCTGGGCCCAAAGCTGAGGACTCAAGCTAGGGTAGGGGGATCTTGAAACACAGTAAAGTCCTAACTGGTGTTTCCAGACTCTAGTAATAGCCAAGAAAGCAAAATAAAAAGTTTATGCTCTAGGTGTCCGGATTTGGGAAGAGGATGATGGGAAGGGTCAAGTGTACCTATTCTGCTTCAAAACCCCTAGGACGCTTCAGTGCTCTTGGCTAGCCCTTTTCGGAGCCCACGGGGAATCTCTTAGATGAGATGCAAGGCAACAAGTTGTCCATCTGGTCAGGGCTGTGGGGCTGGGAGTCTGGCTGCCTGGGTTCCCCGAGAGTCAGTCTTGTGTTGCCACTGGGGCCATGTGCAGAAAAATTCACCCCTTATATCTGCTATGCAAAAATTCACCAAAAAGTTAAGTCATCCTGACCGCCTCATTTGCAGCCCTGTGATTCTTCCTCAGGGAAAAATGTGAATGGTCTCTGTCTCAGGATTATTTCTGGTTTCTTTCTTGGCAGGGATTATGGGATCATTTCCCACTGGGATTGTGAGATAAACAGAATTCCAGTTATGAGTTTAGTCACACTGCAATTACGTGCTAAATGCCCATGTGTAGTTTGGGAACCATCCCAAATAGGATTTCAGATTTTTTTCCATTTGGGATTACAGGATTAATCCTCACTGAGTTTATGGGATTGACTTGAGGAGCGTTATGGTATTACTCCTCAATGGCATTACAGAATTATTTTAATTGGGATAATAGGATTAATCCCCCCAAAATGATGGGAATACTTCCCATAGGCATTATGTGATTAATCCCCTAGTGGATTATGCAGTCTTCTTCTCTGGGGAAGCCATCTGTGCCCTATACCTGGTGACAGGAGTGAAAAGCAGTGAGTTCCCAGGCTAGACCTGTGTGGGGAGAGGTTTTGGCCGATAGCTGAACATTTGCCCTGGGCAGGGGTCTAGACTGGCCCCTGCTTCACATCGCTCCAAGGGTGACATCCATTTGTCATCCCAGGGTAAGGGCAGGTTCAATGGCAGGATTACGGTCACCAGTGCTTTCAATGGCCAGGACATAAGTGGCACGTGAGAGAGACCCCAGGCCTTGGTTCCACCTCATGCCCCAAGGGGCACAGAGAGGGCATCCATCCCATCTTGACCAAGGGACAAAGGGAAGTTGGGGCAGGGGCATCCAGGCTATGTTGGTCTGGTCCAGAGAGGTCCAGGTAGTGTGGAGTGCAGCCCCAATAGCTGAAAGGGAGATAAGCTTTTCTGTGTGATGGAGTAAGGAGCACTGGACATAAATCAAGGATAGGGAACACTCATATTGGACAAATCCTGGAGCCCTGATCTAAGACTGCAATCCTGTGTGATGGGACCTCGCTAGAATCTCTTTGAAATCACAGGGGCTTTTTAAGAATCCCAGAACTGGTTTCAGCAAAGGAGTTCACCTTAACCATGCGTCCTGGTTTGGGCTGGAATAGAGTTGTGTCTTTCTGGTAGCTAGAATAGTGCTGTATTTTGGATTCAGTATGGGGTTTGGTATGAGAAGAGTGGTGATAGCACACTGAGCTTTCCAATTGTTGCTGAGATTTCCAGGACTCTCCAACTCCCCATGTCCTGCCTGTGCGCAGCTGCACAAGAAGCAGGGAGGGAGCACGGCCAGAGCACCGGGCCCAAATTGGCCAATGAAATGTTCTATATCCTGTAACGTCATGCTCACTATATAGGTGGCTGGGAAGGGGTTGTCTCTCGCTTCCGGGACTGTGTTTGCGGGATATTGGTATTTCAGGATTGCTAGCTGGGAACGGGCTGGGTAACAGTCAGCGGGTGGTGAGCAATTGCACTGTTCATTGCCAGTTGACACTTTCTGTTATTGTCACTGATTTTATTCCCATTATTAAACTGTTTTCATCTCAACCTGTGAGTCTCCCTTTACCCCTCCGATTCCCTCCCCCCATTCCCAGGTGGGGGAGAGTCGGTGAGCAGCTGCGTGGTGTTTGGCTGCCAACCAGGTTCAAACCATGACACCATGTAATGGTCTGTTTAGGAGAAAAGGGACAGAGGGGATCTTCTGTCTACAGAGAGTCACTTTCTATCCTCTTCTTCCTGTCGCCAGACAGGATTAAAACACATTTGTCTTTCTTGACAGGACTTCAATGGACAACCAGCAGTCTACCACAAAGATCCTCTCATCCCAACATTCCCCCATTCTTCTTCAAAGCCGTACTGCACTGGGAAATACACCAAAGGCTCACAGAGGTACGTGGGGTGGTGGTGGTATCCAAGGCTGCCCTCCACTCAGGGAAGGGTTAGCTCTAGAATTGGAGCAGGTCTCTCAGGGCCTGGACCAGGGCAGTTTAGAAAGCTTTCCCAGATGCAAACCACTCCAAGTACCAGGCCCTGTCCCAGCACTGCTGCACTCCTCTGGCAAAATATTTGTCCCTTTGCTTCACCAGAATTTCCCCATCCCATCCTGTGCCCATCACCTTTCAGTCCTTTCCTGGGCACCTCCAAGAAAAGTCTGTCTCTAACCCACCCTCAAATTCCCTCCAGGGAATGAGAGGCTGTAACTAAGGCTCCTCTGCCTACTCAGCTTCAGGCCAGACAAACTCAGAGCCCTCAACCTCTTCCCACTTGTCCTGTGTTCCAGCATCCACCGTCTACAAGATCCCTGATAGACATCTCCCCTGTCCTGGGGACACAGGGTGGTTCCAGTCCACCGCTCCCCCAGGTGGAGCAGGGTGACAGAATGATCCCCCTCCTGGCCCTGACAACTCCAGTCTGTCTGCCAGAGCCAAAGGGATGGTGGATTATTGCCACACAGCACCCTGTGTCTTGGGGCTCCTCACCTGCAGGACAGTGCTTCATCCCCAGGTGCCATCAAGACTTGGGCTACATCACATACATCAGAGTGTTCAGGTCACAGGGTAGTGGGATGACTCAGGGAGCCCGGTACAGAGCAGCACGCCCATTGCCTGGAGACTGGTGGGGCCAAGGGACCAGTGTGCACACAGAAGTGCTCAGTGGCACGGTCCTGCCGGTGTGCTGGAACTCAACACTGCTGGCACTCAGCTGCGTGTTGAGCCCCAGGTTACCAGCAAGGCACCCGTACTCTCAGAAACCACGGTGTGAGCAAGCCGGGAGACCCTTGAATCTTAGAGACACATGAGCACACACAGGAGTGCTCCCTCTGGGGTCCCTTGCCAGATTCAACTCCAGGCTGGCCTTGGCTTCCCAGGTGGTGGAGAAGGAAAGGGCTGTGTGAACAAGGCTGCTTACCTATGAGTTAGTGAAACAGGCTGAAAGGCAAAAGAAATGGAAGAGAATATAGGAAATAGGGGGGCAGGTGTGAGAGAGGACAGAGAAGAAAGGGGAAGGGGACAGAAAAAAAGAGAATAGAGGAGGAAAGTGAGAGGCACTCTGTGGATGGCAGAGAAATGAGGCAAGGCAGTGATTAATCAGAAAAAAGAAGGGTCAAAAGGTAAGTCAGAGATGGGAAAGAATAAGAACGATATTAGAGACCAGGCAGAAGACAGAGAGATGATACCACCACTTTCCTTAAGTAGACAGAGTTGGAGGGCAAGAGGAGAAAATGAGGTACAGTCAAATACAGGGCTCTGTGCCTGCTGGGGCAGATCCCTGTTTGCATTGAAAGGTTTGTGCTATGCTGCTCCAGCTTTTGAGTCACTGTGCATCTTGCTCAGCACAGAAATATGTCCCTGAGTCATTGAGTAGGGCATGATCTATCTCCACAGATAAGTGACCGCCCTTAGTCCCATTACTCTTGAAGCGGTTTCTGAATTCCTGCTCAATCTCTGCCATGCCTCCTTCCACAGAGTATACAACCAGCTGCAGACCGGTATCCTTCCCCATGAGCAACTTGTACCAGGAGATGGTTGAGAATACACTCCCCTTAAGGGAACATTTCAGAGTAACAGAGTCTCCCACTCGGACAACTGTGTCTGGTGACTGCTGAAGAGCGTGGCCTGGAAAGAAAAGGAAAGAGATGTGAGGAATGAAACATGTTGAAGGGGAAATGAAAACACATCCTTGAAGTATGACAGGGGATGGGGTGGCATAAGGATGTCAGCAAGTTATGAGACAGTGTACCATTTGTCTGAGAGAGGTACCCAGGACAGAAAAAAACCAAACAAACAAACAAAAAAAAACCCCAAAAGCAACCAACCAAAAAAACACACAAAAGCAAGCAAACAAACAAACAAAACAAAACAAACAAACAAACAAAAAAGAACAAACAAAACAAAAAAACCCAGCATAACAGCCTGAAACATAATAGAAAATTTGTTATGAAAATGACTTCAGTACTCTCAGTTGAAGCATAAAAATGGGACAGAATAAACAAATTTGTAGATGTGTAGAGGTTTTTGAGCTGAGAGAGGAAAAGATCACCTTTTTCATTGCCCATCCTCCCCCTGGAAGCCTTGGGGAATGGGGCACTGCCAGCAACTGGGCACACAGTTATGTCTGCAGCAGCAGCTTCAGTGCAGCTGTTCAAGCAGAAGGGAAACTCACTCACCCACAGGGCACAGAATGGCCACAAGGAACCAGTGGAGAACCATGGGGAAAGGTCACCTCCTTCCAGCAGCCTGCCCCTGTTGTCAACACCGGCACAGGGAGGTGTGAAGAGAGAGGCTGAGAGAGGAAGAGACGTGTCTCTGCGTGGGTGGGCACGTCAGTGAGAGACGAGCCTGAAATGTGAGAAGGTGGTTGGCTGGCTGGGAACGATGGAGAATGACACCTGCATGCAGGCATGAGGTGCATGTATGCTGCTCCGCTGACTTCCTGCCGAGAGTGAGTATCTGTGTGTATGTGCAGGTGGGAGACAAGTGTTATCACAGGATCATGACACGGCTGTGTGTCCCACTGCCCGTCACCACGTCCCTTCTTAAATACGTTATCGCAGAGGTGCAGCCGATTGGCTCAATTTCCCAAACAGAAGTGGAGCTGACGTGGAGCTGGAGGAGCTTCGAGAAGCTTCTCACAGGGGGCCGCCGCGATAGACCCCTCCCCTGCCACCAAAAAAACCTCCACCATTCACTCAACCCAGGACAAGATAACAAGCTCATCTGTCAGGAAACTTTCTGTTAGTTGCACAGCTTGCTAACGTAATCTGTAATTCATGTGTATTTGGGAAAGGTGAACTGTATGTGCATCTAGGGGTGGGAAGTAGTCATCCTGACCCGGAGAAGTTAGTGATCCACACAGCAATTAACCTGAGCAGGCGCAGGCCTGCGCTGTGGTACGCTGCATGTGCAATGTGTCATCCAGGCCCGCACTGTGCCGCACATATCCCTTGAACATCGGATAACCTCAGACAGGACATCGCAAGGGAGGAGCACGTGGACAGCTCCCACTTGCTACAGGCCATTATGCCACCTGCCTGGCCCTGCCTTTATCTAAAGGTGCACCAAGAACCTCTCACATGAACGTGCTTTCCGTTTGGCACTGAGAATGATTAACAGGGTTGGCTGGAGTTAAATGAGAGGAAGTCTGTGGAGCGCAGATTGAAGAGAGACAGAAAGAAGGTGGGGAGAGAAAGGGGGAAGAAGGGTTGACGGAAGTGAACATAACGTACATGAGAGTTAAATGAAGAGGGAGACAAGGATGAGTGGGGTGGCAAGGAAAGAAAGCAAGACAAATAAGCTCACTGAGTCTGAGAAGAGGAGGAAGGGAAGGCTAGGAAGCAGAGGAGGTAATAGATGGAAGGGGATCATCCTGCCTTGTGCAACACCAAGGAGGAGGAAAGCAAGTCCCTTTTGTGCAGGGGAAGGTTTGCGCTCAGCTCCCTCAGCAGCCTAGCCACTGTGTTTCACTCTCAGCACAATAGTACATGCCAGAGTCATTGAGAAAGGCATGCTCTATGAAGAGGGTCATCCCGTCGCCTTGTATCTCACTGCTCTTAATATGGTTTCGGAGATCCTCCTCAATGGTTACTTCACCACCTTGTATTGCATAAGACACTAGCCTCAGCCCGGAGTCCTTCCCCAAAGGCAGTTTGTACCAGTACATAGCTGTGCTGGAGGATTTCTTCTTGGAACAGCTCAGATTCATGGACTGGCCTTGTCGTATCACTGTGTCTGGGGACTGTTCCAGAGCCAACGCTGGAATGGAAAAGGAGGAGCGTTGAGGAACAAAAAATGGAAAAGCGTGAACTAGGCACCATGGGTTGGTAGAGAAGGGGGTGAGAAGGAACAGGACAGGTTAGGGAGCAGTGGAATGGATGGGACAGCTCTTCGGAACAGCAGGTGAGTTTCCAGTTGCTCACCAATAGGCAAGAAACATTCCTGGGCACTTTGTGTCCAAAAAAGGGACCATTTGGAGGTTGTGCACAGAAGAAAAAATAGACAGCCAATGCAGGAGATTGAGGGATTCCTGCCCACCTCATTCATTGCCCATCCTTAGCAGAGGAAGCTTTGGGGAATGGAGCACTACCAGCAACTGGGTTACACAGCTGGGACAGCAGCAGAGGAATTGATATAGGTGCTCAGGGGTCGAGTTCACTTACCCATAGGGGCCAGCATGGCCACAAAGAACCAGTAGGGAACCAATGGGGAAAAAGGCCCTGTCCTTTCAGGAACTGCTTTTTGTAGCTGGCCAGAGATATGTGAAGAGGAAGCACTCGGTGAGGATGAGGGTTGGACAGGACGTGAAATGTGAAAAAGGATTGGCTGGCTGGTAACACTGGGGGATGACACAGAAAATCACAGGAACATATGAACCCTGCAGAGAAGCAGGGAGGGGCTGGGGAGGGGAGAAGTATGTTAAATGGACAGAACTATGCTGAGGTTGTATGGGAGTCCAAGTGTGTACAAGTGAGAGGAATGCTAGGAGTTCCCTTTCTCCTCCTGAAGTCCTTGAGAGTGGGAAGAATGAAGTATGAAGGTCACACATAGGTCCCTTGTATGTGTGTCCCATGCCATGGCCTGTTCACTTCCCGCCACCCCCCACCCCACCCCACCCCCCGGCTGTGTGAGAGCTCTTTTTCTCTACGTAGTACTGTGAACAAAGCAATTCAAGTCACTGAGAGCAGGACCAAGAAAGGCACCACAACAGCCCCAGCATTCTTCCTGCCAAGGGCTCTCATGGGCTTTGCAGTGAAGCTCTTCCCTCATCCCTTTCTCTGAAGAGCTAAAGAGTGCCTGCAGCTTCCAGCTGCTCTCCTGCAGGGAACTGTGAGTCCCGCTGTGGTTAGTTTCTCTTCCTCTGCAGTACAGCTGGGAATGTTCCTGAACAGCACAAAGGAAAGAGTGGGGTGGAGGTCTCATCTGCCCTTAAGACCTTTCATCCCAGTGCTCCAGGCTGGTGCAGTGATCACTGTGATGGGGATGGGGAGGTATATCAGTGGTCAGAGTGTGTGTGTGTGTGTGTGGTGTGTCTGTGCACACGTGTGTTTTTGCACATGTGTGCTTAGATATGCATTGTGTGTGTGTGTGTGTGTGTGTGCGGGGCTCCCTCCAGCCCTGGCCCAGCAAAGCTGGTGAGAGGGGTGGAAGAGGAAGGCAAATCCCCGTGAAGAGCCCAGTCAATGTGCTGACATGGGAAACAAGCAAGAACTGAGCGTGGTCCAAAGCAGGAGGCATGAGGGAGAAGAGGTGCTAGAGACTGGGGCCAGGGTGGCCCCTCACTTGCCGACAGGCAGTAACCCAAGTTCATCCAGAGATGATTTCTCTCTGTGGCCTAGATGGGGAGCCCTGGGTGTCTCATCCTGGTGTTGCCTCTGGGGCAAGGGCTTCTGGCAGCTCTGCTTCAGGAGCACACTTTGTCTTGGAAAGCCAAAGAGAGCTCAGCAACTGAGCCCATCTGTGTAATTGCCCCTTCTGCCCTGTGAATCAACCTGTCCAAGGTGGGTTTCTTTTCTGGCAGGACTGAGTCTGTCCTCCAGAGGGGTGGGGGGCAGGGGGGAGGGGGAAGGTCTGCCACTGGGAAGCAGCCAGAGAGACCACTAGTGTCTTGAAAGCAGCTGTACTGTGTAATTTTTTCATTCATGCTCTACCAGTGACACCTCTCTGCTGCTTTGCTCAGAGGCTCAACAGATTCAGGCCACTGGCAGCCTCTCCACAGTGCCCTCAGGTGCTTCTGCTCAGAAGGACATCCACATGGCCTCACCTGAATGGGGCCAACTCAGCACAGGCTAGCTGGAGAACCCGATTAGCACAGGGAGGGATGCACAGCTAGGCGTGTGGCAAGGCTGAAAGAATCCAGGCAACAAATGACAGAGGTCTTCACCATGCTGAGCCCTGCTGGCAGCATCTTTTCCTCCTCGTAAGAACTGTCAGACCCTGTGCCTGGAGGGCACCCTGGTTACGGGGAAGGAGAAACAAGTGGAAATGGGCTAGGTTTGCTGTGATACGTCTGCCTCACGGTGCCAGGAAGGAGAAGTCTAGTGGGCTGTCACCCAGCTCAGTGTTTCTCTAGGGAAGAAAGTTCAGTGAACGGCATGAGGAAAACTGTGCGCAGGTGCTCAGTAGGAGATGCTGAATCAACAAGTGGAGACTGGTGTTGCACAGGTCACTTGTGTGCCAGATGGCATCTCCTTCTCCCCACAATTACAGCATGAGGTGGAAGACCCCTGACCAGACCTATGCCTCACACCTCTTGAAGGATTTCTCAGCATCTGCCCTTGGTCTGTGAAAATATACCTGAGCATCAGCTTCCTCTGGGGACTTTTACACTGTTTTGCTATTCAGCAGCACTTGAGATAAAGAAGAGTAAGCACGTGAGGACAACCTTGTCTTGTGGCAAGCAGCAGGGGATGCAGTGGGTGGGCCAAACCAGACACTGGGAAATAACGGAGTTATCAACAATCCCTTCTGAAACTTCTCTGGGATGGCCTTGTCCTGGTCACCAGGGCCATCCCTTGGCTCACTTGGGATCCCGGGACAACTTCTGGTGGTTGTGCAGCATGCCTAGGGCTCAGCTTTTGGAGCATGTCCGTGGGGTGCTGCATCTCAGTGAGGTGCTGGATGCCTGCTGAGCCGGGACTGGAAGCCCCTCCTCACACTTAGGAGGAGCTAGGTGTGGATTGGGGATGTGAGGGGAGTTGTGACATGAACTCAGAGTGGCTGGGTCTTGCTCTTTCAGCAGCTACTGGTGCTACCTCGTGGTCAAAAATCTTAACTGCACTGGCCCAACCGTGCATTCTCCTTCCTGGGGTATATTTATGGGACAAATAAACCTCCCAGCACATTAAGTGGGACGGTTGTTGCACTGCACTCCACCTCGCATCAGGTACATTGCCCCTCCTTCAGGAAAGAAGTATGGGGCTGGGCATAAAAGAACAGCAGCTCCAACATCAGGATTCCATCTGGCTCTGGGCACGGAGGAGATAACCACAGCGGTACAGACAGGGAAGGAAGTACTGAGAAGCCAGATGCCCGGATCCTGTTCTCAGCTTTCATGTGGAGAGATTTCATTCCTGGCTCTTAATTACTATTGTCCTTGGCATGACAGATGCAGGACCAGGGTGATATCTACATCAGGGGAGTCTGCCCCAGGAAACATCCCTGTATGTCAGCAAAACACCTTCTTCAATTATAAGACAGGCACAATTATCACAAAAGAAAGACTTTTAGTTCCTCACACATATGACTTTAATCCCTCCAGTACAGCTTGGTCGCCTGGCCTGCTCCCCCATTCCCTCATTTCTGCTTCACTAAATTCTGGAATCTCCCCATAGAAGGGAAGAGGACTCCAGCACTCAGTTACTCAGTCCCACCTGCACCCCTTGGCCTGTAGGGTTGGCATCATGCACCAGAGAGTGCCAGGAATGACACATCCCCCAGCCCCTACCCTGGACATTGTATTTGGCCATCCAGCACCAGGAAGAACCTCCTCCATCCTGCCCCTAGTAAGGCTATTCCCAGTGATGATGATTCTCTCCCCTATTTTTAAACTGTCTGTTACCTGAATTCTCCAGGGTTCATGGTTTCTGTATAAATGCATCTCAATCCCAGGCACTGGACCTGTTGTCAGTTGTTCCTGATACAGCAGGCCAACAAGAGGAAAACAGTTTCAGGGAAATCATGTTTGGGAGTGGTGGGAACATGGACAAATGGGCACACACTCACACGTGGATGTGTATGCACACACATCACTGCACATGCACTCTGTTGCTTACACACCATGAAATGCACACACATACACTCCTGTGTAGTCACACAGTTTCTTACACAATCGTTCCATGTGTACACACACAAACAGCCTTGAGCACACTCCCTGTATACTCCCCACCTCCCGCTGTGATCGTACACCATTATACACACACCAATTTTTATGACCTGGACTGAGAGCCCAGGGAGACATAAAGGTTCTGTGATCCCCTTGGGTTAAATACAGGTGAAATGACAGCAAACAACCGGTTAAAATGTTTTGCTTCCAATAGAAAAAACTTAAACTTGGAAAAGGATAGTAAGCAATGGGGTCTCTTATTGATAAATCTAGAAGAAAGAAAATAAATGAAAGAAAAGAAAAGGAGAGGAGGAGAGAGAGGAAAAGAGTCCGGTTCACCATCCAGGTTTCAGGGTTGTCTCAGATCCAGAAATCTTGCGGAGTGGGTGCTTGAGGAGATTGACGACATGGACTCCGATGTTAAGATCGAAGACCCTTTATTATTCAGAAAGCTGGGTTTTTATCCCCCTACAAAGTTGTCAATCCCCCCAACATAAGTGCTTATTGGTTAACATACATTACTCACACACCTATTCTAACATTTGATTGGCTACCTTAACTACCCATGTCTTTTTTTTTCCTTTGTCACAATAACATTTTTTCTGCAGGCATTCTTCCAAAGTCCTCTGTTGTTCACTGATATCATTCTTATTTTTCTGTTATTCATAAACCTAATTTTTCTGTTATTCCAAAACCCTCAAGGTCTGTTGTTACCTTATTTTTCTGTTATTCAGAAATGCTGTTTTTCTGTTATTCACAAACCTTGAAGGTCTGTTGTTATCTTATTTTTCTGTTATTCAAAGCCCTAATTTTTTCTGTTATTCAAAAGCCTTGAAGAGCATCATGGCCTTCATTGATGTAAAATGTCTCCACAGGTGCACACATAGCAAAATTTTCTGTTGCCTTTTAAGTTTATCAGCTGATTAGCATTCTAGACCAAAAGAGGCAGGTATTTCACAAACTCATTTCCATGAGAGACAAGGAAAAGGTGAAACATGGTTTCTGCACATGCATTGGGGGGGAATAGGGTGCACCAACCCCCTTTTCAATTGAGTCAATGGTCATGCTAACCTCACCCCCACCCACCTTATTTTTTCCTCAGTTTTTGCCTAGGCCCATCTGGTGCTGGCTATTTATTCCTTTTATCAGTCCTTTAACCTGAACATAAATTAATACCACAGCCCCTGATGGGACTATCACTAAGGCATTACAGAGACTTACTACCTTGGCGGATGAACTAGCAGAGAATTCAAGAATAGACAGTTCACTGACTGTGGCAGGTGCACCCGCCCAGTGAAATTGTGGCTCCCTGGCTGTTGAACCTTTCCTGTGCCCTTGTTCTCAGGGCTTTACAGTAGTTGGGGTCTTTGGCCAACAGGGGCTGGTATTTCCCACAGGTCAGATTCGGCTCGGGTATCAATGGAGTCCCTGGGGGGGAGCCATTTTGAGCTTGTCCCACCCGGAGCAGTGTGCTGCAGGTAAGGGCTCTCCCCTTGTGTTGGGACACTGCCCAAGGAGACTCCTCCGGGTTCCTACGGGTTGGGACGCTGCCCTGAGATGTTCCTTGAGGTTGAGAGTCCTCACCTTTTATTAGGTGAGTGATTGAGCATTTTGGGTTGTTGTTAAACCCCTGGTTGGTGTTTTGGGTTGTTCTTAAAACCCAGAAGATTGTGTGGTGATAGTTTGTTCTCCTCTCATGGGCATTTGGACCTGTTGTTTGTAGGCTTGCGGAATGTTGATTAATCGTGTATAAATTTTTTTTTTTTTTTTTTTTTTTTTTTTTATTGGTAAGTGCTTTGGGAGTTTCTGCAACACTGACTGGGTGGTTGGATTCCTAGTTTGGGAAATGGAAGGGAATGGCCATGTCTATCCTCACTTCTGTGATTGTAGGAGCAGGTGTCCTAACAGCAGTGGGATGCTGCATAATCCCTTGCACCCTAGGATTGGTCCGACACTTTATTGAAACTGCCTTGTCATAACAGATGTCTCTGGGACCACCCCCCTTACCTTGATAAGATGCTGTTAGTAGAAGAACAGGAAGAGAAGGACACAAGGGATGACCTGTCATCAGAGAAAAGATGCGAAATCATGTTGTCAACACTAGAAAATACTCATGGAGCAATACTCTGAGAATATGCAAAAAGCAACAAAGGTATAAATAAAAAACAGGGGGAAATTTTAAGGGAAAGAACATTGTTTTCACATGAAAAGCCTGATAAGAATAATGAGGGTGATTCAGAACCGCTTAAGTCCCCAGCCTACAGCTAGATGATAAAAGGTCTTTTTGTCACATGTGATGACCCAGTACTTGGATATAGTTTTAGGTGGATGGAGATACCAAAAGGCTTGGGGAACCTGAACTTTTGAACTTTTCATCTTAATATGCTTGCGTGATGAGCTCATGCATATTAACTTCTCCGCCCTGGAGAGAGCCAAGGTCCATTTCCATGAACATGCGACGTATGAACACCTACATGAAGAGGCATGTTGGTAGGCGGTTCGGGAAGTCTGTACCCCCTGTAGTACTCATCCAGTGAGGAATCAGGAGAGGGAGAAAGGGATGTAAACCATTGCACCATGGCTGTTAGGCACTTTCACTTGGTGGGGCGCCTTGTCTTGCAAGAACATAATAAAAAGTGCTTCACAACACATCCTGTATGAGCCATTGATCATTGGAAAATGAGCATTTCTCACATAGATCAATGCTTAGGGAAGGAAGATTACATTTCTTATTGCAGAGGAGCATGATCCTTGATCTCTGCTCTCTCTTTAGATGTATGCTCTAAATTCAGGACAAGAAAGATCCATGGAGAAAGTCTGGAGGGATGAAAAAGAACCAAATAATAATGGCAAGCCACAGGGACATGCAAATGGGCACAGAAAGGCATATTAGGATGCACATAAAAGGATGCCAAGAGTGCACGAATATTGGAAAAACCATGTAATACAATGAGATGGAGAACAGAGGATACAACATGCATTGCAACCTTGGACTCTCTGACTGGACACCTCATTCCAGATCTGTTGGCTTTGCAAGATTTTACTAGAATCCAGATACACAGCTCAATCCATACTTATGATTTCTAGTGAGCAGCTGACAGGACCCACAGGCTGTTGGTGAGTGGACTGTCACAGAAGTTATAGCCAACTTTCAAAGGACACTGGTAAGCAACCGAATGCTCTGGGCAATCGTAGCCTCCCACAATCTTGTCATCAACAGCATCCCCAGGAAAAAAAATAAAATGAGAGAAAGAGGATTGACTTTCACAGCACCAGGTCAGAATCCATTTTCTTAAACTGTAGCAGCAGCCAATGAGCTACAGAGGAATTAGAAAGAGCCAGAAGACTTTGGAACTTCAGAAGACTTGACTGTAACTCCTGAAATATCCTTCTGATTTATTTCTGTGCTGCTCTGAAACATGAGGCTTCATTTTTACCACCCTGAGTGAGGAAGAGAACAGAAGATCAGAAGCTGCCAAAGAACATCACAAATTAAATCTCTGCAGCCTTCTCACTGGCACCTTCAATTCCATGGCACCTTTGCAACAGCCATGTCATGGTGGAAAGCACATGGTGCACATTTGTGTAAGTTGAGAAGTGGAAAATGGCAAATGCAGTTGAGAGTGTCAACAGTGAAAGTGGGGAAGAGTGGTTTTCAAACATTTCTGATTGTGTACCCCTATCGGTAAAATGATTTTGAGCACACACCCCCAGTATATGTATTGATAATGATATGC